GCGCAGTCTCCTTTCTAGAACAGCCAAGAGCTTTCTAGCCTCGCGGGAGCAGCGCCTTGCATCGCTCATAGACCTTAAAACTGATAAAAAAAAATTCAAAAAACGAAAATTGATCAAAAAACGTTGGTGCGGATGGATGGCGGACAGATGATGAGTTTTGTGCTGCGGTTCCGTTGCGGATGAAATAATAGCCCATCCGCGCATCTCTAATACGAATGTAATGCTATGTGTCATGGAACATTGCGCTCCCCAACTCGCGAAAGGGATTTGCTCCATCTTTTGTAACACACACTATCATTAGAAAAAATCCATGTCATTAGAATCAATGAATCCATATCATTAGACACAACATGCACACATGTGCAGGCCAATGTTTTTTTTTTTTTTTTTTGCGGTGATGACGGTGACGAGCTCAGACCCGCGGTTGGAGTCACGTGACCGCGGTAATGCGGTAACCGTCCCAGCCCTATAGTCTTGATTGATGAGTGATGATTGTAAACAGTTATCATTTTCGCAATTCCATTTGGTGCCACTGGTGATGCAGAAATGACACGTGTATAAGAGAGTTGAACGCACTCGTCTCATTAGAGTGTTCGCTATCTGTCAGTGTGGCAGCTGGAGATTTATTTACAGGTTTGTAGTTTAGATTATTGGGGATGCAGTGCAGGAGGTGACAGTTGTAGATGTGTCTTAAAAACTTTAATCTATGACAGTCACACACACTACAGGCACCTCTTCATTATTCATCAGCAATCATTTACATTGCAGATGAGCAGATAAGAGGAAGAAAAGTTTCTATTTCGGTTCAGATATGACACTGAATGAATTTAAGTGGGAAATTAGTTTCTGAGCTAACCCAGAATCCCTCTTTCTCTCTCTGTATGATATTCTCTCTGATATGTGATAAGGTTTCACATTTTTCTGAGCAGATTATTTTCTCTTCGCCACACAATGATTGCATCACTTTCTCACCATGTTTCTTCTGTTTATGAACAGTTGCTGGTTCTTATATAACATGTCTTCTGCATACTAGCACAGTGTAGTGAACAGCACATTCCAGGGCCCAATTTACGGTCGAGCCCCTCTCTGTCTGTAACAGTGGACAAAGGTTTGCTACATTTTTAATGTTTCTTGGTGGACTAACACAAACAAACTGTCCAACGCCATCAGATAAAGATGCTAGGACAACAGCCAGACAAGTAAACAACAGACTTCTTACTTTACAGTTCTAGAGTTACAGCAAATATCCTTGAGCTGCCCTTTGACAATTGCATTGTTATGGTTGCCATACTTCACTCACTTAGAGAAGAAGGGGCTATTTCACATGTGATGTGAATTGACCTACCACTTTTCACTGTTCAATGTTGTTTGAAATGAATGCTGCGTTTTTAACTTCCTATTCATCAAAGAAGGAATATTTTACTTTGTGTACATTCCTTTTTCCAGAATTATTTTGTAAAATGCAATAAAATCAACGATCTGCGATTTGTTAGTTCTCTTGAACCTTTAAGTAAATATACAGGTCCTTCTCAAAAAAATAGCATATTGTGATAAAGTTCATTATTTTCCATAATGTAATGATAAAAATTAAACTTTCATATATTTTAGATTCATTGCACACCAACTGAAATATTTCAGGTCTTTTATTGTTTTAATACTGATTATTTTGGCATGCAGCTCATGAAAACCCAAAATTCCTGTCTCAAAAAATTAGCATATTTCATCCGACCAATAAAATAAGTGTTTTTAATAAAAATAAAAAAAGTCAACCTTCAAATAATTATGTTCAGTTATGCTCTCAATAGTCAATACTTGGTCGGGAATCCTTTTGCAGAAATGACTGCTTCAATGCGGCGTGGCATGGAGGCAATCAGTCTGTGGCACTGCTGAGGTGTTATGGAGGCCCAGGATGCTTCGATAGCGGCGTTAAGCTCATCCAGAGTGTTGGGTCTTTCGTCTCTCAACTTTCTTTTCACAATATCCCACAGATTCTCTATGGGGTTCAAGTCAGGAGAGCTGGCAGGCCAATTGAGCACAGTAATACCATGGTCAGTAAACCATTTACCAGTGGTTTTGGCACTGTGAGCAGATGCCAGGTCGTGCTGAAAAATTTAATCTTCATCTCCATAAAGCTTTTCAGCAGATGGAAGCATGAAGTGCTCCAAACTCTCCTGATAGCTAGCTGCATTGACCCTGCCCTTGATAAAACACAGAGCACCAACACCAGCAGCTGACATGGCACCCCAGACCATCACTGACTGTGGGTACTTGACACTGGACTTCAGGCATTTTGGCATTTCCTTCTCCCCAGTCTTCCTCCAGACTCTGGCACCTTGATTTCCGAATGACATGCAAAACTGAGCAACAGTCCAGTGCTGCTTCTCTGTAGCCCAGGTCAGGCGCTTCTGCCGCTGTTTCTGGTTCAAAAGTGGCTTGACCTGGGGAATGCGGCACCTGTAGCCCATTTCCTGCACACGCCTGTGCACGGTGGCTCTGGATGTTTCTACTCCAGACTCAGTCCACTGCTTCCGCTGGTCCCCCAAGGTCTGGAATCGGTCCTTCTCCACAATCTTCCACAGGGTCCGGCACCTCTTCTCGTTGTGCAGCATTTTTTGCCACACTTTTTCCTTCCCACAGACTTCCCACTGAGGTGCCTTGATACAGCACTCTGGGAACAGCCTATTTGTTCAGAAATTTCTTTCTGTCTTACCCTCTTGCTTGAGGGTGTCAATGATGGCCTTCTGGACAGCAGTCAGGTCGGCAGTCTTACATATGATTGTGGTTTTGAGTAATGAAACAGGCTGGGGTTTTTTAAAAGCCTCAGGAATCTTTTGCAGATGTTTAGAGTTAATTAGTTGATTCAGATGATTAGGTTAATAGCTTGTTTAGAGACCCTTTTCATGATATGCTAATTTTTTGACACAGGAATTTTGGGTTTTCATGAGCTGTATGCCAAAATCATCAGTATTAAAACAATAAAAGACCTGAAATATTTCAGTTGGTGTGCAATGAATCTAAAATATATGAAAGTTTAATTTTTATCATTACATTATGGAAAATAATGAACTTTATCACAATATGCCAATTTTTTGAGAAGGACCTGTAGATACATTTTTATTTTGATGGCTGCAACACACATCCCATGTTGATGGCTTCAAAAAAAAAAAAAAAAAAAAAAAAAAAAAAAAAAAAAAAAAAAACGTGATACAGAGGCATGTTTACCACTGTGTCATATCACCTTTCCGTTTGATTAAACTTTTTAATCAGTTGGGAGTTTTGTCCAATCTTGCCTGACACAAGACTTCAGCTGCTCAGCAGTCTGTGGTCATTGTTGACTGATTCTCCTTTTCATGATGGGCTACAGATTCTGAATAAGAGACAGATCTGGACTGCATGTGTAGAGTGTCTTCGAAACCACTCTGTTGTAGCACGTGCAGAATGAGGCCTGGCATTGTCTTGCTTCCCAGGAAAGATGTCATCTTGATGACAGTATAAGTCTCTGTACAATCCCAATATCTGCCTCCACTTCAATGGTACATTCACACGTATGCAAGTCACCCATGCCGTTTGCACTCTCATACCATTACAGATGTTTGATTTTGTACCTGTCACTGATGAAAGTCTGGATCGTCCCTTTCGTCTTTGGGACTGAGAACTCAATGTTGAAATGTGGGCTCATCTGACTACAGCTTACACTGTCTTTTGGATCATCTGAGTTGAGCTCAGGCCCAGAGAACTCTGTGGCATCTGTGCATAGAACTGATGTATAGATTTCTCCTTGCGTAGCATAGATTTGCGTTTCATTTCTTGATGTAGCGTCAGACTGTGTTAAAGGTAGGGTATGGGATTTGCAAAACGGCCGGCAGATTTTGAAAATACACAACTCAAAAGGTCCTACCTTCTTTCCTCCAACGCTGGCCCTGACTCCACCCATTCGAAGAACATGGACGTGCAATCATGCATCTGCAAAACCCAGATGCGCGAGATTGCACTTACTCTCTCTCTCTCTCTCTCTGTACCGGGGCGACTTGCACTTACTGTGACTGGGTCACGAGCTTTGAGTATGCGCACGAAGGGGACACGTGCGCGAGGGGGATGGGGGTATGGTACGACCGTTTGATTGACGCATTTTCTGTCCGATGATTCTAGGTGGTCTTGGAAATGATTGGCTGGAGTTTTTCGAGTCCTGCCCGTTCCACAGATGATTAAATTGCTTAAATTTTCATTTCAGTGCTTCTAACTCAGTGACTGTAAGTGGGTTAGGAATAGGATTTCAAGTGATTTTGAAAAAATGGTCAAAAAATAAAATCACATACCCCACCTTTAAGTGACAACAATTTCCCAAAGTTCTCCTGAGCCCATGTAGCAATATTTAACACAGTAGCATTATGGTTACTCATGCAGTGCCATCTGAGGGCTCAAAGGTCAAGCACATTCATCAGAGGTTTCCAGCCTTGCCCTCTGGAATCCCTGAATCTTTCCACAATATTATGTATTTTAGATGATGAAAAAACAAATTTCTTTGCAATCTTGCATTGAGAACTGTGATTTTTTTTTTTTTTTTTTTTTGACAATTCTTTAATGATATTTGGCACAAAGTGGTGAGCCATGACCCATCTTTGTTACCAAAGACTGAGATGCTCCTTTTATACCCAATCATGATACCTTTGCCTATTACCATTTCACCTACTTATTGTGGACTGTTTCAAAACAGTTTAATTGAGATTTTCTGTAATCTTTTCACTTTTATTTAACATCTGTCCCAACTTTTCTGGAGAGTTTTGCAGCCATCAAAATCAAAATTTGTTCATAATTACAAAAAAAAACATTAAGTTGGTCAGTGAAAACACTTTATAGACATAATTTTCTAAACCATAGTGGTGATTAAAAAAAAAGGTTGCTAATGTTTTACATGCAAGAAACCTTGATTAATATTATAAACTGACCTCAGAAAAGAAAATATATAAAAAGGTCTACTCTTCAGAGATGATTTCACCTACTTTGCTTTTGCCTCTGCATCTTCACAGCCTTTGTTGGATACGTCTTCCAGACCTCCAATCAGGTGTTTGTATGAGCTGGAAAGATTGGTAACAACAACATACTTAGAAAGATTTCATCTTTATGACAAATGTAATACCGTTTGAGGTTGGTATGATTTTTTATGTTTCTGAAAGAAGTCTCTTATGCTCACCGAGGCTGTGTTTATTCGATTAAAAAATACAGTATAAACAGTAATATTGTGAAATATTATTACAATTTGAAATTAAAATGTAATTTATTCCTGTGATGTAAAGCTGAATTTTCAGCATCATTACTCCAGTCTTCAGTGTCACGATACATCAGAAATAATTTGAATATGCTGATTTGGTGCTCAAGAAACATTTCTTTAGTCAGTTAGAAAACAGTTGTGCTGGTGGAAGCCAGTTTGTGGAAACCGTGATTTTCTTTGATAAATAGAAAGTTCAAAAGAACAGCATATTTAAAATAGAAATCTTTTCTAATATTCTAAATGTCTTTACTGCCATTCTTTTTCTTTTTAAAAGAAGAAATGACCCCAAACTTATGAACGATAGAGTAGATTTATCAAAGGCGCCATTTTATATATTCAGACTGTTCCCTGTGAGGTTAACAGCGGCCTGTATGAGAATAAGTTAATCTAAAGACTGTTCTCCGGTCAAAAAGCAGTGCGACAGTTGCATGATGTATTTATTGGGCTATCTTACAACTGACAACACTTTATTAAAGACATGTCTACATATCACCATAATATATCTTTCAAAAATTAACAAATTTTAAGTTGAAGAGAGACTCTAATGACTCTGAATAATTTCATGTCTTTCATTATTTAGAAAGTCAATCCTAAATTATAGTGAAAAATGTATATCTAAATAAAATACTGCTCATTAAAATGTAACAATCAACTGTCACACAGATGGCTGATGATTTGAGTCTCAATCAGACAGGAATGAGAGTTTTCCCAGCCGGAGGGCACATACTGTATGTGCTTCTCTCTCTCTCTCTCTCTCTCTCTCTAGCTTATTGACACAAGTGACACTTTAGCTATTTAGGCTGAGCTTAATTATTTAACTTTAAGGCAGTAGATAAGACCTTCAAACCCATAGATTCTGTGTCCCTCACACACACAAATAGAACAATCAGTGTAAAATCCACAGATGTTCAACGAACTGGAAAACTTGGACTGAATTGCTGACTGCTGGAATGACATGTGTAAAGGTTTAAGCAGCGTATATAAAGAAACACTTTGTAAGTTGCATATACTCACTCTCTGTCAATCACAAGGCAGGTGACAGTCTCTGCTGCGATGACATTAGCTGTTCTGATGTCCTCCCTGTTCAAAAGACAGACGCAATACAGAGAAACGTCATTTTATAATGCTCCGATACGTTCAAAATCAGTACAAGTATTATAAATGTAAACTAGACGAGTAAAGGAAACAAACTTTGATGTTGGCTTGACAAAGCCTTGTCTGAAAGTTTGAAATAACTTTGAAAAGCTTGGTTTGAAAAATTTTACTTTAAGTTAATAAAAAGTTATTAACGTTTTAAAATGAATTAGCATGTTGTTAGCAGAATTAGCACAATGCTAGCATGATCTCATGTATTAACACATTGATAGTAGGGATGTGACGGTGAGGATATTTTCCCACCGGTTAATTGGTGTGTGACAACATCGGTAAAACCGGTATCACTGGCGGGGGCTTTTAAATCGCTAAGTTGAAAACGAAAGTAAAATGCGCACGTCCGCACCATAGACTGTAAAAAAAGATGGACGACACCCCTTCGCTCTCTTCCATTGGTGAGAACTGAAGCCGCCCGTGTGAGTCCAGACTTGAGTCTGCGCAGTAGCGATCTCGGGACCAGACCTGTGCAGTAGTGAGCAGGAAGTAAAGCCGCGAAATCAACGCCCCGCCCTCACTCTCGCAGAATGCACTCTCCCTGCACTTTTTTTAAGTGGCCTATGTCTGCTCCGTTCCTCCGTTCTGCTCCAATTTTGATGTCTGTTGATTGCAGTACGACAAGAGGCTTGTTAAAATAAAGTAAATATGAATCTCCTCAGTCCTCCGAAGATCCCGAAAAAAAGTCAGTTGGTGCTTCAGTGACTACTTTGCTCAGAGAACCTGTCTATCACAGCTGTCAATCATGACAGTACACCACCGTTTTTTTAGCATCGAGTAACTAAAAACAAACTGATTTTAAAAACAGACACTTGAACTTACATCAGCGTGATAAAAACGACAGCAAATGATAGAAACCACCTTTGGAAAAAAGATATTTGAAGTGTAATTTAATTTAGTTGGTCTCACGTCCCGTTGAAGAACACAGGGAGGCGGGCTTTATGACCTATACTAGGACCAGTCAAGATCGAGACGTTTTGGCTTCACTTTTCAGGGCTTGTGCGGCACGCTTCCAATGGCATTCATAACGGTGTGGAGCAGAGCGAGCATTTTAAATGAATTCCTATGGAAGTTGAGCTTCAATAGGAATGAACTGAAAACGGAATCATAATCCCATTTTAAACATTGCTAGCATGAATTATCATTCTGCTAACATGTTTTAGGATGTTGCTAACATGAATTAACACATTGCTAACATGATATAGCAGGTTGCCATGTTTTAACACATTGTTAGCATGATTTAACATGTTGTTAAGCATCTATTAAAATTATTGTATTAAATGTTTTGACCCCCTCAATCAAAGTCTATGGAACTTTTTATAGTTTTGATCGTCCGTTTAACAAAAATCGTGAGTCTGATCAGTTAGAAAAGAGATAGCAACCTGAGACAGAACAGCCTGTAGGTCTGACCTGAGTTTGGTGGTTGTAGCTTTAAAGCTCTAGGAGGAGATACTGTTTAAAATTATTCTCAGAAGAACAAGAGGAGGAAGAAAAAGCGTAATAAGTAGATCAGTTTGTCAAGCCAACAAAATAATGAAACATGTATTATTAAATAAAAATAATATATAAATATTATAATAATAATATAAACTATTTATTGTAATAAAACTGCACAAATAATAACCCAAATGGAGTATTTATGTGGTGAATTATGCAGCGACCAAATTAACGATGGGTAAGACGAAATTCACATGTATGCTGCAATCTGGTAAAAAATAATCCATTTATAAATAATAATAATAATAATAACAACAATTAATAATAATAATTGTATATATATATAGATTAGAAACCAGTAGATTACTAGAATTACAAGCTATTTCAACTCTGTTAAAGAATTAAGCCAGCGTGCCTCAGAGTTTGCTGATTGTCCTCTTCCTCACTGTCTCTCCAGTCGCAGTCATCAGAGTCTGAATCCCACTGTGACCTCCTGATGCTTTGCATTATTCACTTACTGTCTGATCTAAGCACAGCTATACGTGCACATATACCACTACAGTAGCACACTTCTATTGAGACTAAAACAATCACTGTGTGACATCTGTCCCATCATTGGCAGTTCTGAGCCGAAGAAGAGCTCTCACACACGACTCTCTGAAAGCAAGAAGGGCTGGACACTAAACGCTAAACACACATACATCTGCTCCTGGATCCAACTGCAAAAATTGCCGGACACCGCACACACACGCTGCCGGATCCATTTCCAGTGAAACGCGCTTGCAGAGGGTGAGAATTCTTTACAACATATCGGCTCTAAAGCTGTCACAGCACAAATACACAATAACGCTACTGCAAAGGTCACAGCTGCTGCACGATATTACTGAACACAGAGGGAAATCTGTCATCATTTACTCACCCTAAATGACGTTCTGAACCCTTATGAATGTAGTTCTTCCGTGGAACACACATAAAAAAAAATTTGCAGAATGTTGAAATTGCATTTTTTTCTTAAAACTGCTACACAACGGGACAGAAAGTACCATTCAGAAGAATAATGAGACTTATGGAATGATTTTATATTGGTTTTGAGGAGTCAGACTATCCAGATCCCTATTTATGTTTGCTGTATGGAAAAGAGAAGTTTGGAAACTGCTAAACTTGTCTTTTTGTGTTTTATGAAAAGTCATACTGGTTTGGAATGACTTGAGAGTATAAATAATGACAGAATTGTCATTCCTTGGGACACATCCACCTGCTTAAGGAAACACAGCATGAAAAACAGATCAATCATAGCTGTCAAATGGGTTTGTGAACCAATCAGGTGTCAAATGCTTCAGAATGCACATACACACACGCATGGATTTAATCCCGGCTCCAAGAGATTCCTTTATCAAATTCTGGAGGCTGTTAAGTAGCTCCGTAAAGTTACCCACCCACATGCTGTATACAAGGGTGCTGTGAGCTCTAACAGAAGAGCATTTAATTGATCTCTAAGGGATCACAGTGACCGCGTGCAATGTTCTGATTTCCAAAACCGTGGCCTAAATTTCACCTCCGTTCACACACTCGCAGCAGGACACCTGATACACAGCGGAGCAATATCAACACACTCTCATGATAACTGTTTCCTAGTAACACAACCAAACGCAGGATTATAATCAGGAGTAAACATTCCCCTTAAAATAGACACCAGAATAGAATAGAATAAAGCACAATAGAATAGAACAGGATTTTGTATGATTAGCATAAATAGAATAAACAGAACACAGCATGAATAGAATGGAAAATATTATAGATAATAAGCATGTTAAACCAGAATTGAATAAACTGGAGCATAATAGAATAAACCTGAACTCAGAATGATTAGCAGGAACAGAATAGAAAACAGCATGGATAGAATGGAAAATAATAGAAATAATAAGCATGTTAAACCAGAATAGAATAAATTAGAATAGAAACTCCAAGAATGCATAAGAATAACTGATGATATCTGACTGGTCTATAGTCGCATACCTCTTATATTATTTCCATGTGTACTTTTGACCCTTATTCCCTGTTCTAACCGAAATTAATTTTACTGTGTCCCACTATTGTTGGCAGTTAGTCGAATTTCCTGCTGTGGGATGCTCTAATGCATAATTGGTCATAACCTTTAAAAAAACTGATAAGTAAGATCAAAAATATTTATATAACGTTTAGATTCATATACATTGACGGTTGCTCATATTGCCAACCCCACCATAACAGGAAATCTGGAGACGGTCATTTTTACACATTAAGCAGTTCAATTAGGAACATAGTCATGGAACTAGAAAGCTCCCTGGTAGAAAACACTAGAGTCTGCGTAATATAATTCCTGAATTAGCCTGTTCTTACTCAGTCGTAAGAGTGTGAGAAAACAGTGCTTTTAAATAATATGTTTGCGAGTGCAGCGACTCAAAACAGTATATTAATTAAATACTTTTTTCAATTCCATTAATGCTTCTTGTCAGCCGCCACAAGATGTCACCACATCCTTTAAAAACGAATGGGGTGAATGAATCTCACAAGAACCTGTCCAGTTCACATTTCACTGAATGATCAAAATAAATAAATCAAACCATTAAGATTTTTGTAATAATTACCCTTATTCTCAATAGTGATTTTTATCCAGTTCTCACCACTGTAATACACTGTAATTATTTTTAATAATCTATAAATAGAATAGAAACTCGTATCTTGTTTAATTAAAGAGAATGAGATTTTCTGCATTACAGTGAAGGGTAGAAATGTAAATTTAAGCAATATATATTTCTCATGAATTTGGGTGGACACTGAACATGTTCTTTGCAGGTTTTGAGAGATTCACATAATGACCTTCCTGTTTTGAGTTTAAGTTTTGTATTAAATCTGACAGTAGTATACAGTGCAATCTCACCCTTGTAGGGCTTTTTCCCCAAATGAGTCTCCTTTCCCCATTGAGCGCAAGTAGATGGGCTCCTGACCCGGACATTCCTCTCGAGTCATCGTCACCTGGACAGGAGTGAAAAGAAGAGGAGGAGATTAACATGGGTTCATCTTCACAGCATCACTGCTTGCACTTTGCACTAAAATAGACTTGCCTTTCCTTTACTGATAATGAAGAATGTGTCTCCTCTTGCCCCCTGGCGAATGATGTAGTCGCCATCCCCATAGTGTGTCTATAAGACAAAGAAAATTGGTTTGAGGATGTGGAAAAAGATGATGGAAAATGAAGCGGGTAAGAATAGAGGATGTGCAGACATAAGACCCAAAAGATTTCTAAACAGAAAAGAGGCAACAGAACATCTCTCTGGCCCTCAGTGTGCTCTCTACGACCTTGACCTCCAGACACATCAGTCTGAAATCAGATATGACCAGCAGAAAGGAAACCGAAGCCCAGAAAGACTGACACAAGCAAACAATATTACCTAGAGTCTGACCTCCAACAAAACACCCACATATACACTGGCAGTGAGAAGAGACAGGTTTTTGACTTATTATCCAGATTAAAATGAAAAAAAAAATGGAAAAAAAATCCAAAAGTAAACAAATACTACTATATATATATATATATATATATATATATATATATATATATATATTATTTTGTATTATGTCCTTTTCATGAATATGTTGAAACTAGCAGATTTTGCTGCATTAATGCAGTTCCGGCTCTTTTTCTCCATGTTTTAAATTACAGTGATCCTAAAAGTATTGCATAACATAACATTCCACTAGCATTAGAGAAGCAGAAAGAAATCATTTTTGTCTTCAAATATATAATTTGATCATTTAATAACTTTTTGCTTGAGTTGCCTTTATTTGATGCAACTTGGTTTGATGTTCATACATTTTGAGTGTAGCTTAAGTGCCACTGTAGCTAGACCGTTTGAGATAAGTGAATACTTCTCAATGGAAAGCACTCAAGTCAGTGTGAATATTCAGTAAGATGCAGATATGGCTGGACTCTAAATTGAGGCAGCTACACATATTTGATGCAATTCCTACTTTAATTGCACATATAAAGTGACACAAATACCAAGGAAGGAGGACAGATTCCATCCATGTGGCCAGACTTTCATTCCACAAAGCATTTAAGCATAAACACCTTAAACAAATTCCAGTTTCTCATTTAGGGTCAATTATTAGATAAAGAGACTCCATCCACTCTAGCTGACATTTTTTTTAACAAATCACGTCACACAATTTACAAAGGAAGGACTGGAATGAGAGTTTGACCTGCTGATACTCAGTGAGATACCATGATTGACAGGTGAGTCATTTTAATGACACAGAGCTCACAGTGCCAATAGATACTTTCATTGTTTGATGATACTTCCACACATTTGCTCTTCTGTTGTTGTTTTGTTAATGAACATAACAGATTAACATTATGAAGATTAGTCTAAACAAATGGGTCAAGGTTTGCCTGAAGTTTGTCCCTGCTGGTAGATGCTGTAAATACATATTTACGTTGCCAAAAATACATCTTTAGCCATTGAAGGTCATTTAAAAGTTTTTCTGAGTTTTTATCTCAGAATTCTGACTCTTTTTTTTCTCGCAATTGCAAGTTTACATTTCACAATTCAGAATTGCAAGATATAAACTTGCAACTGCGAGTCATAAAGTCAGAATTGCACAAAATAATAATGCAATTGTAAGTTATAAAGTTAGAATTGTAAGATAAAGTCGCAATAAATAGATAGAAATAAAAACATTAGCAAGGAGTGTTGTTATCGTTAACTATAACTGTTAATTATTGTTTTAGGTAATTGAAATAAATAAAATATAAATATCAGTTGAAAAACTTATATTCATCTCAGTTAGTTTGCCAAGGCAACACTTCTGATTTTCATTGAAGTTTGTTTAATTTGAAGTACTAACATTACTAAACAATAAAAATTACAAAATCACATACAATTACCAACACGTAAACAAAAAGTAAAATGATGACTAGAAATATAAAAATAAAATCTAATTAAAAATACTAATTAATAGGCCTACTATAATAGTATAAGTAATACTAAAATTGGCAAGTAACAATGAATATTCCAAAATAGTATAATATTGTATAGTATAGTTGATAATATAATAGTATAATCAATAGTACTAAAATAATACATATAGCAAGCAACATTAAAACAGTGAATATTCCCTTTTATTAGATCTTTCACCAGTGACCAACATTATAATGTGTAAGTCTGAAAATAAGCTTTGTTCACTCCTTTGTTTATCCTGTAGATGTATCATGGTCGCTGTCTAAACAGTACAAATCTGAGGGTGTCTGTATTAGACCTATTACACATATATGTAATTAATTATAAGAGCCAAACCAATTTCTATGTGTTGTTGTGTTATTGTTGTGCTTTGTGTAACCATGTATTATCACAAAGCCAGACCAGAGCGACTGCAAGATTATCAACAAATCCACACAGAATGGAAAACGACAACCTTTCACCCCTAAACAAAGGGAACTGTGAATGATAGACTGACTGATGACTAAGACATTCACAATGTTTACGGCTCATCTTTTCATACTATTATTGGATAAAAACATTGATTTTTCTCTTTTGATGCTTAGTGCAAAGTCAGTGGACCTCCGAGAATAGGTTATTCTCCATCTTATACAGAGAGTAAACAACTTCATGATTCACTCTACTACAACTTATTGAACCACTAAAAGACAAAAAAGTTAGGGAAATGCTCCCTGAATTATAGATGAAATAAATGAAGAGCTTTAATAACTGGAGTTGTGGGGCTTTTTTGCTGATAAAAATGTGTTTTTCCACATTTTCTGTGTTTGAAAGTCTCACAATGTGAACGAATAAACATATTTCAGCATAAATTAATGTTTTCTTGTCAGGTGTTTTCTTAAAGTGTGTAATTTCTCCAGTGTACTTTAATATCCTTGACAGCACACAACAGGTTAAAGGCAGAAACAGAGGATGAACTCAGGTGTGGTGTTTAACTGAATGAGATTGTGATCACAGGAATGCAAATGAGTGAATAGGTGAACACAGAATGCACTTGGCTTGAAAATTAACTGATGTTCAATTCTTGAACAATTCCTTATTTTAAGCATGTAACCGTCCGTCCAGACGGGTTATTATTAAACCAAAAAAATGAAGCACTCACCCCTCAGGCAGAGTTAGAAGACTCATTCGGTTCTTTATGAGTCTGTTCTTTTTTTATTTGTTCTGGTTATTCAAACCTGTTCTTTGTTTCAATAATCAGTTTGCTTTTTGTAAAACATTTCTCCATTTGTTTTTGAGGAATTTATGAACTTCTAGCTCAACCAACAGCATAGGATGAGTTAGAAAAAGTAATTAATTAAAAAATTGATTTACTATTGTTCGGGTTTAAAGCAAAGATTCAGAAGAAATATGAATTTTGATTCTGTCACAAATTGAGTTATTAGCTTAAACGTAAAGTTGACTTTTATAGTGCCACTTTGTGACTGATTTTCACAAAAATTGGTACACATTCATTTTCACAAGATGTACAAAATAAATATATCCATTTTTGTAACAGTAGGCCATTCAGAATTCAGACAAGTTAATTTACTCAAGGCTACCAGGAAAGCTGTAGCCTAAAGCCCCGTTCACACTACACGCGACCAAGCGACGCGATACCATTCATTTCAATGGTGAGCGGGCGACTTCCGGCGACACGCACGAAAGCGACCGTTGGTGACTAGATGGGGACGCGACAAAGTTGAGAAATTTTTAACTTTATGCAAATGAAGAGCGATTTTCGCGAGCGACAACCAATAGGAGTGGAGCGCACGTGATCCTTCTCCTCAGCCCCTGAGCCTGCAGTGATGGATGGCAAGAAAGCTGATTCGCTGTCTTTTGGATGTCATACTAGTCAACCAGTAGTGGGAACGCCCACTAGCGACCTCATCGCCAGCGACTGGCGACTTGCAGCGACAAAGTCGCGTGTAGTGTGAACGGGGCTTAAGTCAGTATTGCCAATAGGAACCTTCTACAAGCTTAGGCTACGTTTACCGCAGTTGGTGGAATTGGCAGATGTTCCCTTAAGCATCATGCGCTGTGGAAACACGTCAAAGCATTCTCAGGTATAAATATGTAGCATTAACGCAGGTAGGTGATTTTGAATGAATATTTCATGTCGATATACAATGGTTAAATCATGTTAAAACTCATCCTGCTATTGATATCTTTGTAAGACTGCCGACCCTTATAGAACAGCGGCAAGGGAAAAAAAATGTCCGGCGAATATCGAACCTAAACTAACTTTACCGCGCTCAACCACCGTGAGTACATTTCACGCATTTGTAATCGCTGTCGTTCAGCGGGGAGGAGAGGAAAGACTTTGTCTGCAGGCATGAACCGGCGTAGATGTCCTCTAATCAGACATGAAAACCGTGACAGAACATAATGTCGGGAAGCGTGTTTGTGAAGGCTGGGCCAGGGGGTGATATTACGTTTTGATTTGACGCGGAAGGACTACTTCAGAAGGAGCTCCAGGCTGGCTGCAATTTGATGGTGCACGTGACTTTTTTTTAACAATAGCCTACCATCGCGCTATCATCGATATTAATTAATCTATTTATTTATTGATTTATCTGAGGTGGCAGAACACAGCTCCGGCCCACTTTAACCCCTGGCCATGACGCTTTAAGCTTGTCGACTAGTCGCTGATCATGGCCTATAGAGGGCGCCGCGCAACAGGATAAGAAATCTTTGAACTCCACTTTTAAGTGACAAATAATATGACAAATAAATGCATACTCAGAGAGTGTTCAAGTTATGTTTGATTATACCATCTCGATGCTCAAAATCGATCGGATGAATGCATGTTTTAAACAGCTTATTGTACACAAGTTAATCACCGTTCTAAACTAAAGTGCTGCTGCATTGTATCGCACACACAGCTAGCACATCACACGCATTCAGGAGCTCAGAAATATTTTTTCAACACTGTTCTGTGCTTTATCAATAAAATAACTCAAAATACTGAAAAGTTATAGATTATATTTCTTAGCGACTAAAACCCACAGCTTCATTATTAGTAGAGAGACGCTGCCAGATAGAATCAATTGACACGCAATCACTCTGTCACTAATGCATTCATATAAATGTAATCTTTACTGTGCTACTATCTGTATCTGATTTAGAACGAGCAGAACTCTGAGAAATATAACGACACTTAGACAAAAGAACTGATAAAAAATAAGCTGTTATGTAGTATCAATAGCCTTGTGCGCTGTGTGTCAAATGCCATAGCTGTGCACAAGGTGAGCCGCGTTCGAGTCGTCTTATTTGTTCATTAATGACGTCATCAGCGATTAGTCAACTCGAATGCCGACTTCAAAAAATCTGAAGTCATTCAACTCGTAGTATCAGAGTTACATTAGGGCATAGGACGTCCACCAAAACAGATGCATACCAATTTTCAACTTCATGGATCATATGGTTGCAGTTATACATTTCTTTTTTATTGTAGCACCCCATATTGGCCGAATTTTATGAAGCTTGGTGAGCGTCCTCTGAATGTAATGTTGTCTTTGTGTGTCAAGTTTTGTTCAACTTGGACATTGAGTTTAGCAGCTATAGGTCAAATTGTAAAAATGCCTGACCAATTAATTAACTTGTAACTTTGCAATGCTTTGACAAATATAAATTATTTTGATATCTTGTTATGTTGTTTGGTACTTGGAACCCTGTGTGTGTGTGTGTGTGTGTGTGTGTGTGTGTGTGTGTGTGTGTGTGTGTGTGTGTGTGTGTGTGTGTGTGTGTGTGTGTGTGTGTGTGTGTGTGTGTGTGTGTGTGTGTGTGTGTGTTTCTTCAAGATCTCTTACCTCCTCAAGGACATCAGCCAGCTTGCTCAATATTTCTTCTGAAAGACCCCGGAACGTCAGGACACTGTCAGTGAGAGACAACTTGCATCATTATGTTGTAAAAAAAGAAACAATCATCTGTAAATGTGTGATGGAAGAGATCCTTATATAAGGCTGAAGGGTCTTTTGGTCTTTGTTAATATTATGTAACTTTAGTGTTTATTTCCTCAAAATAACACAAATATTGAATATACTGAATATCACTGTACACCGGACACATTTATTATCTGCCCTGAGATGGTTCAAACAGGTGGTCACTATCACACATTGAAGTGTTGCTCTCTGCCACGGAAACAACAATAATATCCCTCAATCACTATAATACAACATTTCTAAACATATCTGGTCATGTGTTGCGTAATGGAGGAAAAGGTTTGTGTCTGGCTAATTTGTATACGCTGAGCTCATTAGCCAAAAAGCCGAGGCATTATCTAGATTATGTAATAAAAGCTGTAATTTATCTAAATCTAAATGAATCATGTTTAGCATGAGATGGCAGGAGAGCCCGTCTGATCGTAGATTGTCCCTAATGAGATCTGTGCATCTTTGTCTTGTTGCATTAGCAAAAGCACACACGTTTACAGGGATGGGCTGCATCCATGTCTCACTGCTGTGTGTCATGAGATGATCATACATCAATAACAGCTCCTGCATAAATATTTCACATGCCATAAAAAATTCAACGGGCCATTAAAGTCTCCTATTACAGTTTAGCATAAGACTGCAGCAGAGAAATCTAAAGGTTTTATGGACAGGCCATTCTGAGAAAACATTTGTGTCTGAAAATTACAGGGTTTTATATTATTTGTCATTTCATTTAAAAAGGTTGATAATGAACTTTCAAGAAATCCTATTTTCCCATCTGAGATTCAAAGTATCATGGCTGTAACCATCATAAGATATTTGGAAAGCAGCATAGGGGGAAATATCTGCCTAATATTCAACAAATGTGAATAAGCCTTGCAAAATACCAACAGTTATTACATTGTACTAGTATTTTTACTTTATATATGTTATTTAAATACTGTATTATGAATAGATTCTGACAGCATTCACTTTGGCACAAAACATTTCATTTATTTTTATTTCTTACAATCATGTTACATTAAATGTACATTTTATATTTAACACAAATGCATTTTAAAAGGTTAGTACAAAAATGGATAATGACAGACTTAGCTGGTATGTGCTATCACACCACACCACATTATTCTTTATTATTCTTGAGCCTTGTACCAAAAACATCGCTGTGATTTTTCACCATCAATTATAATAGAAGTGAAACTTAGTGCTATTTGAACCATGTGGTAGCAAAAATGGGGTCATTCACTTAAATATGTCAGAAACATCAAATTATTATTTTTAAAATAACTGTTTAAGGGTGTGTTCACACTTGTAATTCACTTCTCTTGTTCTGGACCAAAATAGAAAATGATACATCTAGTCCTGCCTTGCTTAGCATTCAAACTGTCATTTTTTACACCAAACCTAAATATACAAAACACACAAACAAAACAGCTTTTATAGGCTAACGTATTTTGCTACTGAACTTACCGAACATACTAAACAATGTTGTGTGTTGGGATTAAATGCGCTCGTTGTATGTGCTGTATATGTATATGATATTTTTACCAGAACTCACAAAGAGTTTATAAAATGTCAAAACAGTGGCAGAAATTCCTCTGTTGCACACAAACGAACATCTGCTGCAAGACGACATGGTTCCGATCCCTGTTCTGAAGTGCAATGGGCAATAACACGACTATGATGAGAAAAACCAGGGCTGCGTCCGGAATCACATACTCTCTTGACTTATTTGCCTAGTACTTTGCGACCGCTAAAAAAAGTATGTTCCATATAGTATGAATGTGTGTAGTATGACTGTATCCCGGACGTAGTACCTGTGCAATGCTGTCATGATCATGTGACCTATAGCATCAGTTGCGTCGGTTTAGTGCCATTCACAAATCCTCTCCCGTGGCCTCATGGGAGAAGTATCCATTGTATTCACACTTCATAATCTCGCCAGAAAAGTAGGACATCCTAGTACTTTTTGACTACTCTTTTATGAATATTGTGAACTCAACACTGCATCTTGGATAGAAGCTATGGGGAACGCCATCAGCATGACTCGTGTCTGAAGCACATGTCAACACACCAATAAACCAATGGCAGACTGGCATTTCTCCCCTTTTGATGGCCCATACTAGGTGAACGAACTAGATGGACAGTATTTTCCCTCCCTTTGTTCATTTCCCTCCCCAACTATGGTTGGGGGTTTAAGTAGGGATAGCACTCCCCTGGGAATGGCCCTGGTTTGCCAATGCTAATAAGTAGAGGAAGTTCGCCTGCGGGCTGTCCCTCCTTGTTTTCTGTCTCTCACGATGGTCATCACGACGGCCATTACTCAGGTATCCTCTTTGTGGTTAATACAAAACGAACTAAGAACGGTAGGGCATTACATCCCCTCTAATTTGTTTGCTTCCCCTTCCCAACTACCGTTGGGTCTATAAACAGGGGCGGTCATTCCATTAGAGGAGTGGGTCTTTAGACACATCTTGCTGACCTTATTTTTCCAATACGGCAATGCTAACGAATTAAGGAAGTTCACCTTGGGGGTATTACAGCCGTACCGTGTAGCAGCTGCTTTGACACGATTATCAGGTTAAATGACTTGTAATGTGTGCAAAAGCGCACAACCTCCCGAGTGTCCGAACTCGCACAGTGTACGCCCACCTTTAGTAGAGCTACAGTTTCCAGAGGGGTTGATTTTATTGCAAGAATCTGTTGCATCTAAGAATATGTTCCATTACTACATCCTTTTGTATGAGAATCAAGGTTGCATCTCCCCCCAGAGGTAGTGTGAATGGCCAAGGTCGCAGTTAAAAAATTCATTTCAGCTCTTTGGAAATTTCAATCATTCCCTGATTCCTGACGTCAATGGTGATAATTCAGGACATGCAAATTAGCTGACATTCAGTTGAAAAACAATATATATATATATATACACTCACCGGCCACTTTATTAGGTACCCCATGCTAGTAACGGGTTGGACCCCCTTTTGCCTTCAGAACTGCCTCAATTCTTCGTGGCATAGATTCAACAAGGTGCTGGAAGCATTCCTCAGGGAGTTTGGTCCATATTGACATGATGGCATCACACAGTTGCCGCAGATTTGTCGGCTGCACATCCATGATGCGAATCTCCCGTTCCACCAAATCCCAAAGATGCTCTATTGGGTTGAGATCTGGTGACTGTGGAGGCCATTTTAGTACAGTGAACTCATTGTCATGTTCAAGAAACCAATTTGAAATGATTAGAGCTTTGTGACATGGTGGAAGTAGCCATCAGAGGATGGGTACATGGTGGCCATAAAGGGATGGACATGGTCAGAAACAATGCTCAGGTAGGCCGTGGCATTTAAACGATGCCCAATTGGCACTAAGGGGCCTAAAGTGTGCCAGGAAAACATCCCCCACACCATTACACCACCACCACCAGCCTGCACAGTGGTAACAAGGCATGATGGTTCCATGTTCTCATTCTGTTTACGCCAAATTCTGACTCTAACATCTGAATGTCTCAACAGAAATCGAGACTCATCAGACCAGGCAACATTTTTCCAGTCTTCAACTGTTCAAGTTTGGTGAGCTCTTGCAAATTGTAGCCTCTTTTTCCTATTTGTAGTGGAGATGAGTGGTACCCGGTGGAGTCTTCTGCTGTTGTAGCCCATCCGCCTCAAGGTTGTGCGTGTTGTGGCTTCACAAATGCTTTGCTGCATACCTCGGTTGTAACGAGTGGTTATTTCAGTCACTGTTGCCCTTCTATCAGCTCGAACCAGTCTGGCCATTCTCCTCTGACCTCTGGCATCAACAAGGCATTTCCGCCCACAGAACTGCCGCTCACTGGATGTTTTTTCTTTTTCGGACCATTCTCTGTAAACCCTAGAGATGGTTGTGCGTGAAAATCCCAGTAGATTAGCAGTTTCTGAAATACTCAGACCAGCCCTTCTGGCACCAACAATCATGCCACGTTCAAAGTCACTCAAATCACCTTTCTTCCCCATACTGATGCTCGGTTTGAACTGCAGGAGATTGTCTTGACCATGTTTACATGCCTAAATGCACTGAGTTGCCGCCATGTGATTGGCTGCTTAGAAATTAAGTGTTAACGAGCAGTTGGACAGGTGTACCTAATAAAGTGGCCGGTGAGTGTATATATATTTTTAGGGGTGTAACGATACACGTATTCGCATTGAACCGTTCGGTACGAGGCTTTCGGTTCGGTTTTCGGTACGCATTTTTAAACCGAACGGTTCGTTGGACCATTTGTTCTGCCCACCAAAATTTCGTTATTTCAAATGTAGGCGCGTCGCGCGTGGCAAGCGCGCTCATAATGTGAGACGCTAGCGTGACCACAACATTGCCCAGCATCAAATGGCAAGCGGAACGAAACTGAGCTACTCGTTATTGTTATTATGTGGTTGACGGACTGTTTATCAGCTTGGACCAAAGCAGCGCGAGCCGATCTTGATCAAGCGACACTGTTACTACACAGCGCTAAGAGATCCAGTAAAGAAAGCATTTGAATTCGGCACTGAAGTAATAACATCGCTGCGAGATCTAGTGAGAAGCATTCACATTTCTCCAGTAGCACCTCAATGCAGTACATGAGATCCACGAGGAGGAGTCGGATCAAGATCCAAGGGGTGGAGATGGGTAGGATTAGGGGTGGGTTTAGGGATTAGGGGTGGGTTTAGGGATCAGGGGGCAGAGATGGGTAGGTTTAGGTATATGTAAGGTGGGAGGAGTTGGATCTGGATCCGACTCCTCCCCGTGGATTTCATGTTCTGCAGTGAGGACCATCTCCATTTCTCCGTTATTAACCGATCAAACAGCGCTGACGTGGAAACCAGGAAGAAACATTGTGCCATGAATGAACTATCCAGTGTCCACAGATCAGCAACATTCACCATGGATTTACTGTAGTAACACTACTAACTGTAACCATGGGAGTTTGGCAGGAATAGTAGGCTATAATGCTTTCAGGTAACATTACGTCGGTTTTATTTTGACATTATGAATACAATTGCTGCCCTCAAATGTTAATCTGAACTAAAATAAACCTGTTTATAACTACTACAATATTACATTTCATTTTGTCCAAGGAGCTGTTTTGTTTATGCTCCTAAGAAGTCAAGTATAGCTCCATCATTGCTCAAAGTAAAAAAATATCATACTTTATGATGTTAGTTTTAATACAAATATAATTAAAAAAATTAAATCAAGGAAATTTCTCTGGCATTTCTTTGTTTTTGCTTTATCAAAAACGTACCGAACCATATTGAACCGAACCGTGACAAGTGTATCGTATCGAACCGAACCGTGAATTTTGTGAACCGTTACACCCCTAATATATATATATATATATACACTCACCGGCCACTTTATTAGGTACACCTGTCCAACTGCTCGTTAACACTTAATTTCTAAGCAGCCAATCACATGGCGGCAACTCAGTGCATTTAGGCATGTAGACATGGTCAAGACAATCTCCTGCAGTTCAAACCGAGCATCAGTATGGGGAAGAAAGTTGATTTGAGTGACTTTGAACGTGGCATGATTGTTGGTGCCAGAAGGGCTGGTCTGAGTATTTCAGAAACTGCTAATCTACTGGGATTTTCACGCACAACCATCTCTAGGGTTTACAGAGAATGGTCCGAAAAAGAAAAAACATCCAGTGAGCGGCAGTTCTGTGGGCGGAAATGCCTTGTTGATGCCAGAGGTCAGAGGAGAATGGCCAGACTGGTTCGAGCTGATAGAAGGGCAACAGTGACTGAAATAACCACTCGTTACAACCGAGGTATGCAGCAAAGCATTTGTGAAGCCACAACACGCACAACCTTGAGGCGGATGGGCTACAACAGCAGAAGACTCCACCGGGTACCACTCATCTCCACTACAAATAGGAAAAAGAGGCTACAATTTGCAAGAGCTCACCAAAATTGAACAGTTGAAGACTGGAAAAATGTTGCCTGGTCTGATGAGTCTCGATTTCTGTTGAGACATTCAGATGTTAGAGTCAGAATTTGGCGTAAACAGAATGAGAACATGGAACCATCATGCCTTGTTACCACTGTGCAGGCTGGTGGTGGTGGTGTAATGGTGTGGGGGATGTTTTCCTGGCACACTTTAGGCCCCTTAGTGCCAATTGGGCATCGTTTAAATGCCACGGCCTACCTGAGCATTGTTTCTGACCATGTCCATCCCTTTATGGCCACCATGTACCCATCCTCTGATGGCTACTTCCACCATGTCACAAAGCTCTAATCATTTCAAATTGGTTTCTTGAACATGACAATGAGTTCACTGTACTAAAATGGCCTCCACAGTCACCAGATCTCAACCCAATAGAGCATCTTTGGGATGTGGTGGAACGGGAGATTCGCATCATGGATGTGCAGCCGACAAATCTGCGGCAACTGTGTGATGCCATCATGTCAATATGGACCAAACTCCCTGAGGAATGCTTCCAGCACCTTGTTGAATCTATGCCACGAAGAATTGAGGCAGTTCTGAAGGCAAAAGGGGGTCCAACCCGTTACTAGCATGGGGTACCTAATAAAGTGGCCGGTGAGTGTATATATATATACACATTTTGCATTCCGAACTAAACAAGATAAATCTATCAAATAATCCAAGTATTTAGTATCAGGTTAAGAAGCCAATAGTAAATAGCCAAGTAGTAAATCATGGGATCACACACACAATGTTGCTTAGTAGACATGAGCCTGGATTAGCTCAGGACTAAATATGAAACCTACATTTCCTATTGGCCTATAAACCAGAACCGTAAAATGCACAAGTTCTGCTCAGCATCTAATGCATTCACACGCACTCTGCTTTTGAGTGTTAATGGCTGTAGGTTCAAAGTATAATTGACAAAATTAGGTCTAATTATTCAAATAATAAATACAGCTGCAGGGATGGGGTAATATCAATAACATTAGATGAAACCCACATTAGATGATTCATTAAAAAAAATTGCATTACTATTCATTTTTCACGTTAATACATAAGACGGAGAGAGTGGGAGATTGGGAGCTATAGAGAGTTTCTGTGGCAATGAATTATGTGGCTTCCAAGAAACTTCTCTGTTCTGCCTCAGTGTCTTTAAAGTCTTTGATGAAGACTTCTTTCATCCAGTTTGGCTCAGGAACCCAACAATGCAGAATTGAGAATTCTGTCTTTAATATGTAAAATATGCCCCATGCTCTCTTCTCTGGGTGCCATTATGCAAATTAAGATGTCAGATGATAAAGAAGGAGATGCACTTCCATGACAAGACAGCTGCTCACCTTTTCAATAACTCCATGTACTCTGCATGTTTGATGAGTCCTGTCCTCATCATGATGGTCTGGAAGCACTGTCTGTCGATGGCCCATAACTTCACACTGGTCACAGCTGAAACACACATCAGAAAACACGGCATCAGTTTGTGAACGTAATCATAATCAGCACCCAAAGCTTTTCTTACAATACGAACATGAAATTTAGACGTTTAATTGTCATACAAGTAATTCTGATTATCGATTTAATTGTCTGTTCTGTTCATGGTACTTACAGTGTACGCTTAATATAAACAGAGCTTCAGAAGAAGTCTTTATGTAAGGAATAATTGACGACGGGCCGTTGAATTATTAGAAAAAAATGTATGCACACCCGAGGTAGTAATGCGGCCACGATGCAAAGCAAAGTGTCTTTGTGGGTTTTGGCTCATTTGCTGTTGTGGGCTGTAAGGAACTTTTGAAATAACTGAAATCATTTGGCGAACTGTAATGTGGTCAAGACCTCCCTGGAACTACTTTAGCTGTGCATTTACTGGAAAATGGTTGCACACCTTAGAACATTCGTCAACCAATCAGAATCAAGCATTCGGCCCGGTAGTATTATCATATTTAACTTTCATACACAGTATAATTGAAGGCACAATGAGAATTACATGAATACTAATATTTAAGCACTAAAATATTTATAAATGATTTAATTGGTCCATTTTAAAATCCTTATGCAATATGTTGTATTATTATTATATTATACAAAGATTAATAATATAAGTAAATAAATCAAGTTCAACTTATTCACAATGCATGGGTAAGTAATCTGTGCAGTATTTATTTGGCTCAAAATCAGTGACAACCTCAAACTTCAGCACATAAATTACACTAAATACAACAAACATTATATAACTGCTGAATCCAAACCATAATGATAAACAGCATTAAATGACTAAATATTTAGAAATAGTGCAGCATAGACTGTTGGATATTTCGTCATCAAAAATGTGGACTCAAAGGAGGAATGCTGGGGCTGAAGGGATTGATTATTGCTTCTTGGTCTAATGAACTCTGACTCCTGCAGGAATGTGCACTTCTTTAAGACACTCAGGTGAGTTATAATGGATCAACAGCTGTCAGTGAAACAGAAACTACTGTATGATATTAGAAAACTTCAACGATATATTGAACCCATTTTGTTTATCTGAGAGGGCCAGACGGCTGTCAAAGTAACAAACAGGTTTTGTGAATATTATAGACATTGCTAAAGCAATAACCAAGGTGACATTGACATGTGGGTGGTTGACGTGACGCTCCATTTTTGTGTCCATAGTGACAAATATAAATAAAAATGTATAATATTTTATTAAAATATCCGTTTTTATATACAGTTTAATCTTCCAGAACTAATACATCTGTAATTAATGAGCATTATAATTCAAATATGTAAATATTTTGTTTTAAACATGACATTTGTCCACTGGCGTGACTGTCCGGGTTAGCGTTCCTTATCTTAAACCTACTTTAATTAAATGAAAAATAAGTCTAAATACATTAAAATACTTGAATAGATATTATAGTAGTGTTAACTTAATGAAACTAAAGGTTATAAGTCTTAAGGTCCCCATTTAGAATAATTATGACACATTACATTTTGTCCGCAAAACTGGTGTCCACCTGGTGTGACGCCATTCTGTAGATATGAAACAGGCATTAATTTGGGCACCCTATTACTGAGAGGGGCCCTTCTTCATCCATGAAGTACAGTAGACCTCACTGGAGCACATGGACTGCACACAAGGTAAGTTCTGTCTCAAATATTTTGATAATATTGCTATTTCTGTGCACTGCTGGAAATGGGATCCATTATGCAGTCCTTTGGTGTGACGTTATTTAAGTATTGATCTGAAAATTTTCATCAATTTATATTGATTGACTATAGAAAATAATGTAAACCTTAACACTGTTAGTCAGGATTAAAGACTGTCTCTCATATAGCTAGGCCGCAAACTGGCCTTGATCTTGAACACGTCCACTGGTGTGACAGCACTGTCCTATAGTGTGACATGAAATCAGCGTCACACTGGTGGAAATGGCTGTCACACTAGTGGATTTAGGCTCTATCAAGGGGTGGGTCATTCTTCATTTGTGGTGGCAAGTGGTGTCCCTCTACTTTACAACAGTTTAAATTCACTTTAAAGGGTTAGTTCACCCAAAAATAAAAATTCTATTTACTCACCCTCATGTTGTTCCAACCCCGTAATGAGACTATTCATTTCCTTCTCTGTGGGCCTCGAGTCAGGTTACTAGTGACCAGGTAACAGCGTACGCTTCTGTTGTTGTACGTCACACGCATCACACACATGACCAGCGCCGGCCAATAGTGAGCCTACGTGTGACGTAGCTCTACGCAATCACACTAGTTTAACTGACTCGAGGCCCACAGAGAAGGAAATGAATAGTTGAAATAAAGTCATTATTTTTGTTTGTTTTTGCGCACAAAAGTATTCTCGTCGCTTGATAAACTTAAGATTGAGCCACTGTAGTCACTTGGACTATTTTAACGATGTCTTTAATAACTTTTCGAGGCCGGCAAGTTTCAATCCCTTAGAAGCCTATGGAGGAGTGATCCAGCTCTCAGATTTAATCAAAAATATCTTAATTCGTGTTCCGAAGATGAACGAAAGTCTTACAGGGTTGAACAACATGAGGGAGAGTAATTACTGACAGAATTTTAATTTTTGGGTGAACTATCCCTTTAAATACCAATCAATTCTAAAATGTTTGCATTTTTGTATTCTGTAGGATAAGCACAATTTGTGCACTATTAATAGATAAACTTTAGTTTTAAAATACATATTTAATTGAGTTTGAGAGATTGCATTTGTAACAAAATTGCATGTTCCCACCATACCTCAGAGAGATATCATGGAATGTAATTACATAACATTTTTAACCCAAAATAAAGTGGTTATATTGTGAATATAGATTCCATGATAGACATCATGATTTTGTGTAAAGGTCATTGCAGGTGCTGGTTGATCTGAGGGGTGCATGGGGAGCACATTATTCAATTTCTTAAAGTTAGCTAAATTCCTGACAATTTCATGTGTCGCACATTATTAGTGTCTGCATGTTATGTTGATAACTTGCAGATTTTACATATTTTAATAAAAATTTAGATAAATGCATACTTATTAATATTTCCATAATATCCCCTGATCTTGAAATAATCATGATGGCAGCCTCCATTTTAGAAAAGTCTGGATTTAGGCTAATTTGTCTGTGTTGTTACTGTCTTTCCTGGTTACACCACAGACTCTATAGTAACTCCACAGACAATATACCAGTAATGTTGTATTTTTAATAAAACGCATAGGACATCAGTAATCATATAAATGTATCTCTCTTGTCTGGTATGGCCCGATGAAAAGCATATAGTCCAAACAGATTTTCCCCTTTTCTGCAAGGGGCGACATCCATTGATGTAACACCACAGACATGAATTTGGGGAACACTACTTTTTTCTTAGATATTACAAAATATGTATTTTTTAAAACAATTTAATAAAATTGTACATGTTAAATAAAATCTATATTCACAACATAACCACTTTTTTTGGTTAAAAATGTTATATAGTGCTTTATAGACAGCGCAGAGATGCAGACCCAGTTCGAAGAGCAGAGTTCCTTCAAAAGAAACAACAGACCTATTTAAAAAACATATCTCCCAGAGAGGGGAAAGAGAGCAGCAAGGAAGAACTGGAGAATATATAAGGCAGAATACAGGGCAAGAAAGCAGAGAGAGATTTATTCACTGAAGATGTACTGATTTTTTTTTTTTTTTATGTTTTGTATTAAATACGTTTGTGGATACATTATTTATTCACTGAAGATGTTCTGAATTTTTTGTTGTTGAAAGATTTTCTGATTTTTTGAAAGATTTTCTGATCTTTATTGAAACAGATTCAAACATTGTGATTGCAATACAATCCATTGTGCAGACAATTTTTGAGAGAGTGAGAAACAGGTTGCAGGTTGTTTTAATTATATTTGTTAATGCAGTTTTTGTCTAAATGTTCTTTTATCAGAGCAATTACTTCTTGTAATCCTACTCATGATGAATTTCATTCTTTTGCTCAATAAACTTAATTGTTAAACCTTTATGCAATATTACATCTGTGGTGTTATATTACATCTGTGGTGTTACTTCAAAACGTATCCGACATTTCTTTCCTTCAGAGCCATTTAATCTTATAATTTAATGTTTTTAGACTGCAAAGTGGTTTAAATATTTAGAATAAAGACTATAAAGGTAGCACAGACCATTTTTCCTGCCTTTTTATGTATATATATTTTTTTTTTTAAAAGGAAACAATTCTTGTTGTCCAATGGTGTGACGGAGTGTCCTGTGGTGTGACCAACTGAATTATAAGTGGAAAAGGCATTTCAATGCACAAATTAATGTAAAAAGTGTTGAATAGTATAATAATGATATCATCACTATGCACATATAAGGATGAAATGAAGCTTCATTAGGTTTTATACTAATTATAATGAATATAATCCAGATGTTTGGGTAAAGTCCCTATATGTACATCTTATAGTAGGATAATAACATGATTGTGAATTTGTATTGGTTACTTTTGATGTGGGAATATAGTTAGGACAAATTGATGAGGATTGTGCATATTTGTCTTATCTGTCACACAATCTCTGAATTAAATATTAACATTAAAAATGTTGTCAAACCGGTGGACAATATGTGGGACTACCACACAAAAAAAGTTAATAAAATGCTTAATAAATAAGGAAATAGAACGGGACACATTCAGTTTTGAGTTTTTCACATATTAAGCAATATAATTATATGTCATTTGACATGCATTTTAGAAATATATTTTTTTCCACTTTGGATTTGAGTTCACGTCAACCACCCATGTAAAAGTGCCTGTTTTTTTGGAAATTATGCCTTATTTTGTTAGAATGCGTTTATTGATTTTCACCCAATAACATACTGAAGTGCTTCAAACTGCACTGACAGTAAAAATTTCCAGTGGTGATTAAGAATAATCAGAAAACACTGAAGCATAAACAGTGAGCTGTCACATCTGAATACAGCCACTGA